TTCATTAAATTTGGTAAAATATTATGAAAATTTTTTAAAATTATTATTATGAATTCAAATATACACCTATAAGACAAGTTGTATTAAAAATATTAAAATATTAAATAAATTATAATATAATTAAATAGGTATGTACCTATATTAAATAATAAAATACCAATATCCAATGTCATTATATATATTTATTATTTGATAATAACAAAGGTAGGCATTAACTTGACTAGGTAGTTAATTATTTTTGTTTTTAACTTATTACTTTTTTATAGTTAATTATCATTATTGTGCAGTTAAGTTTATTGTATTTTTGTATCATACGGAACCAACATATAATACTGATTTGTTGACTCTTTTTCGATTTTGGTCATTTATTTTGTAATAATATATTATATATTATAATCATCTGATATTTTAATGCACAATGTTAAATGTATTAAATAAACATTTATTTGTGTAAATCAAACAAATCAAGGCGTTTTATGACTTAAAAATATTGTAGCTTGAAAAAAAATTAGTGTAACTTTTTTTTTAACTGAGTTAGGTTCATTTTATTTTATTTTGTAACTTTAAACTTATAATAATTTATTGATTTCCAACAACATTGTACAATTATTGAAAAGATATACATAAAACTTACAACTTATCGATTAAAATTTTTCTTTGTTAACTTTTAACTGAAGGTAATTTAATTGAATTAACTTAACTTGTCTCAGTGAATTATTTACATTAACTTTCCCAACCTAGGATAGTAATAATGGGTTATTAAAATATCAATTATATATTATATATATTTTTTTTAGCGATAGTACAGATGAAATGATACAAGATGAGTCTAACCAAACAACAGAAACATTATCAACTTCTACTAGCTTAGTGTGTCCTGTTTTACAGCCAGCTCAACAATCCATGTCATCAGATGTTATTAAAAAGCCTAAAGTCCAATCTACAATTAGAGTTATACGACCCCTAGACAGACAAACTGAAGAAAAATATAAAAATTCTATAGCAAGGTGGGTGTGTATGGATATGCAACCTTATAGGTCTGTTGAGAAGCCAGGTTTTAAACAACTTATGAATACTCTATGTCCAAACTTTAAGATACCAAGTCGCAAATATTTTTCTGATCATAAAATACCAAAAATGTATGATGAGATAAGGCTTATAATACAAACTAAACTTTCTTCAGTACAATTCATAGCTCTCACAACCGACTGCTGGACATCTAACAATGGGCATCCTTTTATTGGTTTGACAGCTCATACAATTTCTAATGAGTGGAAATTAGAAACTTTTTGTTTAGCCTGTACTTCATTAGATGTTGACCACACAGCTCAAAATCTTCAAAGATCTATTAAAGATATATTATTTGAATGGAAAATTGACAGTGAAAAAATTACAGCAATTACAACAGATTGCGGAGCAAATATTATAAAAGCAGTTGGTTTAATGAATTTTAATCATGTTGCTTGCTTTGGTCATGCGTTAAATACAGGAGTGACTCGTGCATTTAATATTCAACCTGTAAAAATGTGCATTACAAATGCAACAAGAATACGTTCAATTTTCCATTACAGTAATAAAATGAAGAGATCGTTGTTAGAAGCACAAAATCAGTTGAAACTTCCCACATTGGTTGCACCGTCGTCATCAGAAACTAGATGGTGGAGTGTTTTGCCTTGCCTTTATTTTGTCAAGACTCAATATTCGGCTCTTTTACAAATTTTTACCATACCAAAGCATTATAATTTATTACCCACACGTAATCAAATGAAGCTTATAAACCGTTTGCTAAAAGTAATTGAACCATTGAAACTGTTGGGTGAATCAATGGCATCTGAAAAGAATATTACAATTTCTGATTTATGGCCAATATACCAAAAATTGAACTTAATGTATAAGCCACTTAACCAAAGAAATGATGTTGATTATAATAATCTCAGTGATAATGAATACTCAGTTCCATTATTTGAAAATACTGATGACAATGACTATACAGAAATATTCACACAACCCAGCAATCAAGATGATTCTGGTGGTGAAGATGATGAAGAAGAAACTTCAGAAACAAATTCATTATCTCAAGCACTTGAACATGTTGAACAATTAGTTGTTTCAGAAATTTTTGAAACACTATCAAAAAGATATTCCAGTAACGAGAAAACTATGAAGTTATTGAAAAAGGCTTCATTTTTAGACCCTCGGCACAGAAACAAATATCTTGGAAACCAAAACCAAATAGGTGTTATTCATGACGAGATAAAATTAGAAATGGAACAAATAACTAATAAGTAATAACATATCAGCGAATGACCATTCATTGAAAAAAACTCACCATTATACAGGTAAAAATTATTAAAACGAGTTAAAACTTTTAAAACATAATATTAAAATTGAATGTTATATAAAAAATATATAATATTATGAAACATTTAAAACATTTACTTTTATCTCATCTTCAATTTATATTAACAAATATAAATTTATCATAATAATATACTAAAACTAAATAGGGATTAAGTATCAATAATTTTCTAAGTAATTTAATTTTTGTTTTATTATATTTGTTTTTAAGGCATAGCCGCGTTTTTAGACAACCCAACTTCTTTATCAGTGGAAAATGAAGTTTCAACTACAGAATCTGAAGCAGAAAGCATTAACAGAGAAATACTTGGATACTTGCAGATGCCTCTTGTGAATTTGTCTACAAATTCAACAGATTGGTGGGGAAAATTTGGTGCTGAATTTCCAAAACTTGAAACATTGCCCAAAAAATACTTATGTATACCTGGAACTAGTGTACCCTGTGAAAGACTTTTTAGTACTGGTGGTAATATATGTACAGATAATCGAGCGTCACTCGCTCCAGGTCATGCAGAACAATTAATTTTTCTTTCAAAAAATTCACAGTTTTTTTAACCTTAAAATAGGTATTATTTTAAATTAAAGGTTAATTGTTATCATGTCAAATTATACATATAAGTATTATGTTAATAAAGTTTATGTAATAATGTTTAATGTTTAAATCATTTAAACAAATAAATAAAATTTTTATTTGTATACCTTAAAATTTAAATGTATAAAAAGTTTTTTAATCTTATAATTTAATATTTTTAAATTATGCTAATACATAACTCCATAATGACATAGTGAAGGACATGAACATACATTGTGCCATGATTAAATAATAAATAAATATAATTCATATAAACATAATTTAACAGTTTAACTAGATCTTATTGTTACAGTCTTACTACTCTTACTGACTATAAAACTAATCCAAATCAATGAAAAAAGTAAAGTAAAACATCTTTAGGACTTAGGTACTATTAATATTTTTTCTATCTTACTATTTTAATTTTTAAAACTTATTTATATTGTGTAAAAATTAATTAGTTTTAAGCTTCTTACTTATTTATTCATACAATTTATTCAATACATATCTGATATCAGTCATATACTCATATCATATGAACTATAAGATATCTACATATGAAGCCAACATGTTCTAGATACAAGATGAGTGATTCTAAACTGCCAGTTTGCAGACCTTTGCCTGCATCTAGATCAGAGTTTCTCAACCTTTTTAGCAACACGAATACCAAAAAAATAGGTTAAAAAAATCAGTTACCTCACGATCCCCTGCCTCTTCGTTTGTAGAAGTAATTTATTATTTTTCTAGAAACTACCCCTCCTATTTTCACCATATCACAAAATATTGGGAGTCTTAAAGTCTTAAACAATAATAAATAATTACACATGATTTTTAGATGTTAAAAGTAAATTTTCTTAGGTTGGAAACTTAGAAACACTTATAAATTTACCGAGATGCGGTATGTATTCCGTGTACTGTATTTTCGGTAATTACCTCACCTCCTTATTTTCGGTAATTACAGTGGTACGGTATTTTCGGTAATTACCGTGGTACGGTATTTTCGGTAATTACCGTGGTACGGTATTTTCGGTAATTACCGTGGTACGGTATTTTCGGTAATTACCGTGGTACGGTATTTTCGGTAATTACCGTGGTACGGTATTTTCGGTAATTACCGTGGTACGGTATTTTCGGTAATTATCGTGTTACGGTATTTTCGGTAATTACCGTGGTATGGTATTTTCGGTAATTACCGAAAATACCGTATAACCGGTAATACCGTAAATACCGGTAGTAAACAAATACCGGATACCGGTATCAAAATTTTGAATACCGCCAGCCCTAACTTATCATTATCGTGCGCGGGTCGTTTGTCCTTTCATGTTTGTGTGTGTGTAGGTGTGGGTTTCATCGTGTCGACAACAGAACAGTTATTCTTTTATAATATTTACTGTGTGTAATTCATTGACATTTTGAAATATTCAACACAAATCAAGAATATCATTACATAGGTACATACAATCTATAGTTTTTTGTCATTTGCTGCAGTTATTGGCATTGGTGAACCCCACTGCAATATTATACAGGTAAGAGACAAGAACTTTTAATAAAACAATAACAATAATATTTATAATAGTTTATAAATGTATAAAAATAATTATTAGGTAGGTATACATATGACATATGACATGTAGTTAAATATTGAATATTACATTATTTGGCCGTGGATGAATGCATCCTTTTAAACAGTATTTTTTTCTTTAAAATAATCAGTCCAATAAATTCAATCATATTATATATTGATCATCGATATCTAGCACAAGGTGGGAAAGTTAACGAAAATAATGAACTCGAGTTAAGTTAACCCGTCATGACTCGCACGTATAATTTGAACACCGTTACTCGCGCGTTAATTCGCTCACCTAGTATATTTCATCGTGAATGTAATATTTTAAGAACAAATAATTGATAAATCATAAAATAAACCAATGTTGAATATTCTTTATTAATATATTGAAAAAAAATTTAAATAATTATACTGACTTATATGCTATGAAATGTGCAAAATCATAATGAGAAAATAATTAAAATGTAATATGTATGCATGAATTAATTTACAAACTTAAACAAACTAATCATCTAAATCTCTGTGGTTTCCGTTGCACAAATTGCATAGGGCTAATGTGTGTTCTTTACATAATGGCCCAGAGCACCTTGCACATTTTACCTATAACATAAAATAATTAATTGTATATACATATATTTGGGCTTAGTAGTGTATGTACTTACCACGGTATAGCGATTTTTCCTTGCAGGACAGTAAGCACATTTAACTCTTTCTGTAGGTCTTGGGTCCTCTTGAGTTGGTGTGGAGATTTGACCGGTGAAACGATTTATTTGTTTTCGAAGATCAAAAGACAAATTTTTACAATTCAGTCGTTGTTCCATAAATGGTTTACATAGATCTTGCCCAAGAGATTTTAAAAATTGACGTCTACTTATAGTAGTATCAGTGTTGGCTTTATAAATAATTTGGCTATTTATACCAGCTATATTCATAAGAGAAAAAAATATGGTAAGAGGCCATCTACAACTAATCCTTGCTACGGAATATTCAGCTTTTAGTTCGTCAACTACGTCGACTCCTTATTTGGTAAAATTAGAAAAAGTAATTACTTCAGGCTTACGTTGTTCTCCGCTTTCTACATCAATATCTCCTTGCTTGTGCATTGTTGACAACATCAGTACATTTTTATTTTTTTTTGGTACGTATGATACTAATAAACATTCTTTACTATATCCAAATTTACTACTATTCACTTCTCGTTTCTTTGTGTCCAAAAAAAGAGGAGGTATTTCTCTTTTATTTTTTCTAATTGTCCCAACCATAGTTATTCTATGATTTTGTAACAGGTCAACGGCCAATGGAACAGATGTAAACCAATTATCAATTGTCAAGTTCCTACCCGTTTTGGAAATTGGAGAAATCATCCTCTTGACAATACTTGATGCACTATTATCTTGATTATAAGGACCATTAGGTTGTTTCCCTACGTAAACCTCCATATTTGTTGTGTAAAATAAACGAGCATCTACGAGTGAAAATATTTTTGTACCATACTTGTTGGGCTTGTTAGGGATATATTGCCGAAAACTACATTTCCCTCTGAAACCTTCAAGCATCTCGTCAATGGTACAATATTCCCCGACAGTATAATTTAATTTACAGCGATCAACAAATTCATCAAAAATAGTTCGAATAGGTGCTAATTTATCAAATTTTTTTCTTTCACTGCGAGTATTTATATTATCAAACCTTAGTGCTCGTAATAATAAATAAAAACGCGTTTTTGACATAACAGCTCTAAAATACTCCGGCGATAACCCATCATTTGACCAAAGATCCGACAAATTTAGATGATTACTTTTCATCATACCAGCTATGTACAAAAGACCGAACAACGCTCGTATTTCTACTACACTCGTATCCAAGACATCTCGTTCCCTACCATAATTTATTCTAATTTTGGTCAAATGGATATTAGTACATGTAACAATTTCTTGAATAACGTTGTCAGGAAAGAAAAGTGACCAAGATTCTATAATTGTTTTTGCATTTCGCGCATGAGGTTTCACTCCCGGTAAATGAGTAATTATATTGCAATGAGCAGTACGGGTATTGCGTGGAGGTGGATTTTTTTTCCATTTGGTAATTTTATCCTTGCCCAAGTAGTATTCATTCTCACCTTCATCGTCAGGTTCTGATTCATCGCTAGTGTTTTCGGTAGGTTCGTCGCTCTCGTAGTTTTCTTCATTATGCCGTTCTACAGATATTGTATTTTCATCATTTTCACTATCATCACTACACGAATCATTTAGTGATTCCATATCTTCATTTAACCACGAACTAATTAACTCACTCATACTTTTGAAAAATAAAATAAACGGCAAAAAAAGTAAAATATTGAATAAAAAAATAAACAAGTAAAAACGAAAATATGAACTCGAAATTAAAACGCTGTTACTCGCGCGTCGAGGGATTCGCTCACAAAACACGACTAGTTGATTTCGGAAAGCAACAGGTATCGTTATCGCAACGCAATTGTGCCAGTCAACTGATAAATCTATTTTTAAATACTTCGTCATAAGGTACTATGAATTTGGGAAAAATATAACAACCCACAAGCCAGTGGTTACCAACCTAAAAACTATGTGAGGGAAATTCTCACACGCGAGCAATGACGGGTTAAGTTAAGAGAACACACGATGGCTTAGTTAGAAGCAGGTTTAGCAAACATTATATTAATGTTATATATGACAAAAAAGCGATTGAAATTTGTAAACGTAATTATAACGGATAGCAATAATTACAAATAATTAAATACCACAAAACAAAATATATCGTTTAACAAAATATATTTTATATTATTAAACAGAACATAACCTAAAACGTAATTTATAGACTTTTATTGAACAAAAAAATAACGCAAATCTAAATAATTTAAAATACAATTAATAGGTATTAACTATTGACACTATTCTAAATAGGTAACGATAAAAGGAAAACTTGTATGAAGTTTTAATTCTAAATAACGATAAACATAAAACTTGTAGGTATAACGTTTTAATTCTGAATAACGATAAACGCAATTATGGTGTAACGTTTTAATTGTGAATAACATAAAACTCATTTTAGATTCTGAGTGAAACGATGAATGTATTGATTTTACAATGATGTGTGTTTATTTATTTATTTTTTTTTATTTTTTTTGTATCTGTGTACACGATAAGTAGTCGAAATAATGCTTTGATTTTCGACTTCAGTATCTTGTTCGATTGGAAAGTGAATATCGTTGGTGCATTGGGGAGGTCAAAATTTAAAATTCCCAGTACTTTTCAAAAGCACCAAGAAAAACAAAAGAAAAATTAAGGAAAAACGGGAATTTTTACGCAAAATCGATTTTTCAGAAAATTGAATTTGGTTTTTGGTGTAACTTTAAAACAAATGACCGTAGGTACTACAATTTTCACTGGTTGTTTATATTTGCATCTTCTATACACGATAACATTTTCAAAATATTTTGATTTATTTTGAACAGTTTAGGGACATTTTCATTTTTCGTTTTTTTTTCGTTTTTTTTCTAGAAATATCAATAAAATTTTATTTGTTGGTTTGCGAAAGCTTGAAAATTTAATAGAAGGCTCCTAATATATTGTTTCAAAGGCAGATGAAAAATATTAAAAATCCTTAGTCACAATTTTTTTTTATAAGCATTTAAAGTTCAAAAATTGACAAAATATGGAAAAATCACGAAAATTAGCAAATTATTTTGAGTTAAGAATTCGTAAAAATTTTTCTTTTTAAATCTTAGATTTTAAAATCTAATACAAGATTACTCATAAGATTGTCTACCTTTATCAATAAAAAAATCTCTACCGGAAAGTCAAATTAAATTTTTATGAGCGTTTGAAATTCAAATTTTTACAACATTGGATATTCACTCGATTTCTCATGTGGCAATTTCCTTTTTTTGTTGTAATTAAAAAACGAATTACTGTAGATACATGAAAATTTCACTGAATGTTTATATTAGCATTTCCTATACACCATACAATTTTGAAAATATTTTGACTCTTTTTGAGCCGTTTACGGACATTTTCAGTTTTCAATTTTTTTAGTTTTTTTTTTCTATAAATATCAATTAAGTTTTATCTGTTGGGCCAAAAAGTGTAAAAATTTAATACAAGGCTCCTGATATATTGTTACAATATCATTTGAAAAATATTAAAAATACATAGGCACAATTTTTTTTTATAAGCATTTTAACATCGAATTTTGACAGAATTTTTCAAAATCTCGAAAATTATTAATCATCGTAATTAATAAATTATAAAATGTTCAGTTTTTATAGCTAAGGATTGAAAATTTAAAACAAGATTCTACGTAAGTAGTTAATTCTCTTACCGAAAAATCTAAAAAATATACAATCACAGTTTATTTTTATAGTCATTTTATGTTCAAATTTGGACGAAATTACACATAAAAAAACCTAGTTATTTTGTTGTGATTATATAATATTATTCATGGGTACCTACTTGAAACTTCTAAAGTTTACTATAATATATCAATGATAGTATCAGGATTTGTTATTGATGTTGATGTATAACGTGTTATAAGTACCTAATGGATATTGTGATAATGTGATATGATTAATTTGGAATTTATTATAGGTAAATTTTTTTTTAATACCATAGATATGTATATAATTTGTCTTAAACCTAGACTGACATACCGTCTTCGCTCAGAATCGTTTTTCTTATACAATGATATTGTATCATTGAATTCAAATTTAATACCATCCATTATACAGTGACCCACTTGTAACCTACAGTACAGCAGAGCGACATCCACTTACCCACCTTTTTTTTTTTTAAATGCAAGCCCTGGTTAGAAGTAAAAAGTATATTATAACAGCATCAGTATTTTGTTATAGATATTCTTAACATATGGACAATAATATGTTTCGTCCGTGGGAAAAAGTTGATTTCTCAAATGAGAATAGCTTAGCTGAGAAGAATGAAGCACATGTACGTTCATCTACATATTTAGCATTAAATTTATTATCAGTTCATAAGTATTTATTAGACAAAATTTATCCGTCATATATTATCACTAAAAATCAAAAAGCTAATTTCCGAAGACAATGCAAACCATTTACAGTAGACGAATCAAAAACATTACTCTATAGAAAAAAAATCAAAAATAATACAACCTGTCAAAATGATGAAAAGTTGTTACCAGTTATTTTAGACAAAAAAAAACAAAATGAATTAATATCAATGACTCATAGAGGTACAGACTCTAGTGTTGAATCAATATCCTTATCTGCTCATCGCAGTAAAGATGCTTGTATATCTATAATAGAATCTCGCATGTTTTGGCCTAATATTTATTCTGAAGTATGTAATTTTATAAAAGAATGCGATATTTGTCAGAAAGTCAATCCAGCAGTTTTAAAAGCTGTTCCAGAACTGCAGCCAGTAACTGTGCCAACTACTGTTATGAAACAAATAGGTATAGATATAGCCACATTACCTGAAGTGAACCAAAATAAATATATTATTGTAGCAATTGATTATTTCAGTAAGTGGTCAGAAATTAAAGCTGTTCAAAACAAAACTGCTGAAACTGTCACTAGATTTTTATTTCATCTTATTTGTAGACATTCCTGCATGTCAATACAAATAAATGATCAAGGTAGGGAATTTGTTAATCAAGTTTCAGATCGCCTTCATGTATTTACCGGTACAAAACAACGAATAACCTCAGCTTACCATCCTCAAAGCAATGGTCTTGTTGAAAGACAGAACCGAACCATAAAAAATATGATTTAAAAACATTATATATTGAAAATTATGTTGATAGGTGGCCAGACATAATTGACGGTGTTCTCTTTGCTCATCGTACAGTTCGCCACGAAAGTACAAAATATTCACCATTTTTTTTGTTGTATAATCGTGAACCAACACTACCCATAGACATTACCTTGGAAGAACTTACAAGTTCCCAAAATGATATGGAAGAAGATGAAGTTTTGGAAGAAGATGACACAAATACATTAAAACGATTTGAAAAACGATTAGAGCAAATTTTGCAAATTAAAAATTCTGTTTTTACTCAAGTAACACACAACATAAAAAAAAGTCAAGAAAAGCAAAAGAAAGCGTATGACACACGTCATTCTAATAAACTAGTTTTTAAAATTGGTAGCTTAGTATTGCTACGTAATTGTCTCAGAGATGATCGAAAAGGTGGCTGGTCTAAAGCCCCTTTTACAGGACCTTGCACAATTTTAAAAATTCAAAAAAAACAACAACTGTATTTTAAAAACAATGAAAGGAAAATTAATTAAAAAGCAACATCCTATTTCAAATTTAAAACATTATTCATCTAAAGGATCCATGAAAAAACTTTTTAAAAAAAGCAAGATAGACACTCATTGGATGTAGATAAACCAATAGTGACAATAGATAAACAGAATATACAAATATCTAAAAAAAATCAACCTCAAGACAACAAGACACTTAATTTTTTTTCAGATGGTACAAAATTTCGTATAAGTGGCAAAAAGAGCAGTGTAAAATAATGACCTAGCTTATGTTCAAAGCGATGATTTTAAAACAACCAAAAATAGTATTCTTCATTTTCGATTATATGTGCTTCAACTGTACCTGATGGTAATTGTTTTTTCAGAGCTATATCTTTAAATCTCACAGGCACTGAAGTGCAACACTATGAGGTTAGACAATTGATAACACAGTTTATGAAAAACAAAACACCAAAGTAGAAGAATTTTCCAATACCCAAAACTATATTGCTAAAAGTAATATGGAAAGTGACAAAGTTTGGGCGACTGAAGTAGAAATGTACTTTACTGCTGCATTTCTTAATGCAGATATATATTCCTACATGGCAAATCAATGGTTAAGATTCTCTCATTCGTTGCAGTTATCAGCTAAACCAGACTACAAGAAAATGGCAATTTACCTCAATCATAAAAACTCTAACCACTTTGAAGTTGTGTTGAAAGTGAAAAAAAAGGCTGGTTTTGATAAATAAGTAATGTATTTTAAACTAATATTGGTATACTCACTGCATTTCAGTTATCTAATAATATTATTTGCTTTCAGGATGATGATATTTATCTGACAATCACAAATACAGCTGTATGAACTTAAAATAATTTTTTTATTAATTTGTAATTTGTAATTAGTAATTTGCATGTTTGCATGTTTTTATTATTTTTACTCTTAGTTTGTATTTTTCATTGTTTTGATTATTTTTATTACCTACCTATTCATTTGTATTTTTGATTTTTTGATTGTTTTTAATTTTAAATTTTTCATAATTAATTGTTTTTAATATTAATATATATGTTACTTGTTAGATGACTCACTTCTTACAATATCTAGTAAGACATTGTATGTAACTTATTAATAATTATTCTACACTCAAAAATAAACGTTTTAGAATATTAAACATTGACATTTATACACAATCGGTTATGAACAACTTGACTTTTAATAAAAATTAAAAACATTTTTATTAATATAATAATATACTTATTTGAGTTATTGATCGTATTTATATAATTTAACTTTTTTTTATTTTTTTTTTTTTAGAAATAATTTATTGTGGGGTAAAATTTCAGAATATGCGTCATTTCGGCAATCTTGACGCACGTCAAATGGACGCAGCCATTTGGACGAACGACAATTGGACGCATGCAATTTGAACGCCACCACTTTTAGGCGCAAGTCAATTTTGACGCAAAACAAAAGTATAATTTTTTATTTATTATAATATTAAGTAAAATAAAATAAAATAACACGAAGTTGGTTTTTTTACTATAATATTATTATATATAGTATAATAATATAGTATAATATATTATATTATACTATATTATTTATAAATAAAATATTAATTATAACATCCCATTGGAGTTTGTAAAAAGTCAACGGGGAAAAGATCTCCTTGTTCATGGTGGATTTATTTATAAAAAAGATAGAGAAGGTAAAGAAAAATGATATGGAGATGCAACGAAATTAAAAATTGTCCAGGACGAGCGCATACAATGCAAGGTACCTATGTATTATTTCTTTATTTCTTTATTTTTATTTTTCATATTTTGATGATGTCAGACACAAAATTATTATAAATAATTGATTATAAATATAACTTACTCGAATAGTTATGGTTTTTTTTATAAGAACCTACATATTGTAAATTATTAGTGACCATTTTTTTAACACTCAATTGTACTTGTAGGAGATATAATAAATCCATAGATAATAATCATGTACCAGACGTTGCAAAAATTGAAGCTAAGAAAACTATAAATCTAATAAAGGAATATGCAACAACAACAGTAACAACTACAAGAGCTATACTGGGAGAAACATCAGGTTAGGTAATTTATAATTTTTAAACATTTTAACTACAAAATAATTTAATATTGTTCGTTTAATATTGTTTTAGTTACCATGTGCAGTGGTAGGACAGCTACCGAATATTAAATGCTTGAAGAAAACAATACAGCGGTCTAGAAAAATGGTGGAAGCCAGTCCTGCAAACCCTCAATCATACAATTTTGAAATTCCAAATAAATTCCAAATTACGTTAGACAGTGAATAATTTTTATTATTTGACAGTGGCGATAATGGTAATTATGACGATCGGATTCTATTATTTTCAACAGAAAAAAGTTTAAACGTATTAAAAAATTTGGATCATTGGTTTTCGGATGGAACGTTTTCATCTTGTCCAAATTTATTTGGTCAATTATATACGATTCATGCAGTTTACTCTGGTGAAATAATACCGTTAGTGTATGTTTTGTTGCCCGATAAAAAATAAGTAACGTATAATAAAATGTTTCAAGCATTAAAATCCCTTAAGTTTGATTTATGTCCGAAATCATTTACAACATATTTTGAAAAAGCAGCAATGAACTCTATCAAAAATGAATTTTCAAGTACAGAAATACATGGCTGTTTTTTTCATTTTAGTCAAGCAGTTTGGCGAAAAATTCAAAACTACGGATTGACAACAAAATATATAGAAAATGTAAATTTTGCATTACAAGTTCGAAAATTAATAGCGCTTGCTTTTATACCTATTGACAAAGTAGTTAATTATTTTAAAGTTTTGTTGGAAAGCGATTTTTATATGGAAAATGAAAATATGTTAACTCCACTAATCACCTATTTCGAAACTACGTGGATAGGAATTTTGGACAGGAGAGGTCGACGTCGACAACCGCAATATCCTATAGAAATATGGAACTGTTTAGAGCGTCTAAAATCTGATCTGCCGAGAACTAATAATAGTATTGAAGGCTGGCATAATGCATTTTCGCCATTAATAAATTGTAAAAAACCAGTCATATGGAAGTTTATAAGTGCATTGCAAAGAGATGAAAGTTTGACAAAGGTAATAAAAGAACAATTAATTGCTGGGTATGCACTATGCACCAACTAAAAAAAAGAAGTACAAAGACTCATCCAAAAGATTAATTCAAATATGTACAAATGCAAGTGACTTTACAATCGACGAAGTGCTTCAAGGGATTGCGCATAATTTAAAATTTTATAAATAGTAAATTTAAAATCATATGTTTTTTTTACTTTTAATTGTATTTTTATTTAATTTATTAAATTATATTTTTGTTTTGCGTCAAAATTGACTTGCGCCTAAAAGTGGTGGCGTTCAAATTGCATGCGTTGAAATGACGTATGCGTCCAATTGTCGTTCGTCCAAATGGCTGCGTCCATTTGACGTGCGTCAAGATTGCCTCGTCGAAATGACGGGACACCAAAATTTCACAAGGGAATATTTACCGGGGGTAAAATTTCCCTAGAGATATTTTACCTCCGTAATATTTTACCGGAAGGTAAATATTCTCTAGTGAAATTTTACCCCCCGGTAAAATTTCTCTAGGGATAATTTACCGGGGGAGGTTAAATTTCACCCGGTAAATAATCGCGGGTACACCGGGCCACTATTACACCTCCTTACTGAATTTCATGAGAAAAGAAGTTTTTTAGATTTTGGCAGGGATCTTTTTGTTTTACTAGATGTTAGGAATTTTTTTCCTATTTCTCCTATTAAAAAAACAATGTAAATTTCCTGTATATTATGTTTGGTGTAAATACAATTACAACAATGATATATTATACCTATACCTAATAATTAGTGTAATTAATAATATCATTGTCATTTTATTAGGTAGGTAGGTGCATGAAAATTGTTTAGATTAATAATAAATGTACATAGTATTCACTTGGACTTATATCAGTGACTATATTTTTTATGCATCAACCGAAGAAATTGTCCACCTGAGTTGCATGAGATCTGCTTGAACTTGAGCATTGTACTAATTTCTTTGTGAATAATTTATTCGTTTACCCGCTAAATGTTTATTAATTACACTTTTGAATTGTTCACACACGTTGTTGTCAACATTCATCAGTAAACTATCAACATTTGCGACTAAACGAGATACTATTTGGGATATATCGCTCACAATCCCTAAAGTATCGGTGTCTTCGATCAAATTTTTTTCATTAATTGGTCGCGGTTTTTTTACAACATTATTCCTCACATCGATCATGGGCACCCATAATGTGTCGAAAACTGTTATTTATGTTTTGCCGTAGTCCTTAAATAATATATGCATATATGCATATACCATGCATAGATGCATATAACATTATATATAATGTTATAATAAGATAATAGTGTTCATTTATAATGCTAATAAAAATATAATTTTTATAATCAACTTGCCTACTGCTTTTTGGTAATCTGTTAGGCCTGGTAAACCACTGCGATATTCAATTGTAAGATTTCGTTGTTTTATTTGATGGCTCAGCATCATTGATAACCTCGATCACTAACGATAATTCCAGTATATATAGTACGTATATCGTAGAGACGGACAAAATAATATTTGCTCTCAAAAAAATAAAAAAAACATTTGCCTGTGAATTTCCAGTAATTCAAACGGAACACACTCAATTAGTTTTTCTTACAGATTCTATGTTTTTAAATCATTTTCAAATAAAATCTATTTATCCTCAAAACACTGATTTAATGGCGTACGTAAACTCAAAATTTGTTTATATAGAAAATTGTTTCAAATCAACAATATCCGCATTATACAATGATTTATTACAAAAACAATGCGTGCTTGAACGGCAATTATTACAGCAAAGACTTGCAGTAGCCTCAATCTTCGGGAGTTTGCGTATATCATGGGCGGCGGTCCAGGTTACAAGGCCGTCAAACATGCTGAAATAATTTATTTAATTAAATGTAAAAAAGTTAGTGTCGATGTCACCAACAAAG